TTGTTAAACATTAATGAATCAAAACTGTACCGATATTAATAATAAAATCGATACTTTTATAAATACTCAGTTCTTAATACCCGATAAATCACCCAAGAAATATAATATTTAATTTAACATTACTTTTTTCACACAGTTATTCCGTATAATAACATGATACTACATAATTCCTGTTCCCCGTCGTCTAGAAAATGACCACACATAGCGTGGTAATTTTGTTCAACGAAGTCAGCCCAATTTTCTTATTTCAGATACGGTGGACTATCTTTTCGTGACGGTTCAAGAATTGTCCCCTTTATCGCATATCTTGACCGGCTTTGTGAAACTACGATTATGTAACGATCTATAAGAGAGTATTACGAATTCAGAGGGATCCTTCTACCATTAAAATATCGAATGTAGAGGTATGCAAGTACTCGATTTATTCGAGTACCCGAATTTCGAGTGAAACAATGATCGGTCGGTCAAGCCGAGTCGAGCGCTTGAATTTGCCGAATTACTCGAAATCGACGAACTGTTTGAAACAAAAGCGAGCTACTTGAAAAAATCGAACTACTTGAATATTCGAGTTGAAAATTCATCTTCAAGTAAATCGAAGTTTTACGACGGTTCGAATATTTGAGTAGCTCGCTTTTGTTTAAAACAGTTCGTCGATTTCGAGTAATTCGGCAAATTCAAGCGCTCGGCTCGGCTCGAACAATCGAAGCGAGTTCAGCTCTAATCGAATGTCTCATACGCCACTGATGGCCTGCAATGTTTAGCGAAGATAAGTACATTTTTAATTACCTAAGCCATAAAAAAATATTCTTCAATTATACTTTAAAAGAAGAATGGATTTCTCAAAACGTTGAAACTTCGAAATCTAAAAAAGTTTCAAGTTTCGAAAGTTTGAAACCTTGCACTTTTCTCTTAAACCGGAAGTTTTAAGAAGAGATAAAAATTACCTAACAAGAAGTTATTCCTTTCGCCCTGTATTAATGCTTTTAGGTTCGATCCACGATGGAACTAGCATAACTATAATAAAAAATTCTATGAAAATATCCAACTTATCTACCATAAGCATTAACCGTCTTTGTTAATTAAAGTTTGGGAACAACTATATTGAAGTTAGAAAGTACGCAAATTAATACATGTTCTCTCACGTCCAAGGGCCCTTAATTTAGTGTAGGATGGTCGATTGATTCGTTGGTCAGCGATTTTTAAAATCTTGTTGAACGGCGTGTATTCATGAAAACTGTCTAGACGTTATAATACATGCATACAACAGATACACGCGATGATTAATTTCATGAAGGGGTGATACAGTAAAGACTTATGACGACAGTGAAAACTTGTAATTTCGAGTAAAATATTACGTTACACGCCTCGTTTTATAAAGAACCTTCTTTTTCCATTTTCTTTTTTAAACAAAAGTAATTGGTGTACTCCACATTAATTATCATCCAATTAAATCCAGTAAAGTACAACTTAATTATTAAGATATTTTATAACTGAACGAAATAATGTTTAAAGAATCAAGAAATGCTTAGAAAATCGCTATAACGTCTTTGTATCTGATGAAATTTTTAACCCTTAATTACTATGATAGGTTTTGGAGTATCCCATAACACTTTAATAAGTAATAAGTAACATTAAGCCTATAACATTGATCTTCAATTAAGTTAAACCTTATAATTTATCAATTACAAGTATTAATGAAGCTGCCTGTAAACAATAATTTCAGGTTTAAATTTTTATTAAATTTTTTTCTTAATAATGCGTAGAATGTACATAAGCGTTAATTCCTTATTTTAAGAACACCCTGTGTCTTTAAAAGCTTAGGTTACCATTTCATCGTTTTGGTGATTTCTATCAGCTAATCTCTTACTAATTGCTACCATCCTTCCATAAACCAACACCATTATAGGTGTCTATAATTATAATCTTATCTATCTCGATTTATCTGCTTGGTTGTGTCTTGTTTTAGAGCGTTCAACGCTCAACTAACCTCGCGATCATCATCAATCGTTTACAAACCCGTTCCTCTGACTTAACACTTTCGCTATGATACAAGTCACTCCCGTTCAGCAAAAAGATTTTTAACGTTTCACGCGTCGCCGAGCCTGCATTGAGCTTGTAAAATATGGAATCTGTATAGTTGCTGTATAACGGTGAATCAAACTTAAAAAGCAAATACTGAAAAATGAACATTGTGTAGATGTACCCCGGTCATGGTACAGTTTAAACAGCCAAAGGGCAAACTGTAGAACTGTTGTGCATCAATTCGTGTCATCACAAGTCACGAATATTGTGAATGGAAGCGGTCGCGTGAGCAAACTCACCGTCAAATTAAGTGTATGTATTTCTCATCTGATGAGTTCATTGAGTAAACAGTTTAACTCTCTGATGTCAGGTAGAAAAGATACCTTCAGAGAACTGAAAGTATTATATCATTTAAATGTGAAAGGTAGAGATTTAAGTAGAGATTTAAATAATTTTCAATTCTATTGAGATAATTACCTATTTAAATTAGCAATTAAAGAAATAATTATTATGGTTGATAGAGAATTAATTTATCATTTAAAATCACAAAATATTTTACTAAAAAATTAAGAACAGGGCCAGATCCGGAGCTTTTCTGGTCCTAGGCATGTCTTATATGTATACTTTAAAATTAAATTTAGAAGTAACAGCCAGGAAACTTATTTATTCCGTACAGTAATGACGAACACCTCTGTGCGGGCCCTAAACACGTGCCTTCTTTGCGTAGGAATAAACGTGGCCCTAAAAAATTTAATTTATATTTCTATCATCACAAATACAATTTTAGATATTAATTATAAATAACGTTAATTTTCAATGGCATAGAATTTAAAGGTAGCTTTTTACAGAAAAATTCAATAACTTTACTTGCGTGGAATAGCACATGAAATTATGAGCTCGTTATCCCGAGATTAATATTTCAAAACAGGAAAGCAAGTGTGAAAATTTAAAAAACCAAAGTCATTTCTTTGAGAAGCAATCAATCAGCAGTTAGTATCCCAGACGTCATTGGTTTTCATCAACCTGATGGTTTCAGGCTGCATGTGCATTAAGAAGGTGCTCATTTAACAGATGACCTCTTCTAAAACGACTGCACTAATCATGGAAAGTCAAGAAGCGACGATTAAGTTCGCCAGACGATGGTAATCATACCGCAGTCAATTCCAAACTATTTTCAATAGTGACTAAGCTAGCTCGCGTGCCTCTACGCACACGGTACGTACCATAAGTTACATGGCGTAATAAAATTACACAGAGCACGGTTATAACGCCGTAGGCGGACTGGTCGCCGACAGACGACTGCCCTATTTCGAATTTAACACCTTCCCATGGTTAGTAGACGACAAAACTGCTCGAAATCGCATTATCAACGTCCTTGCTGCATTTCTCAAAAATGTAAACATTAAATGAGAAAGAAAAAGATGGTGATGGAAATTTAAAAATTTGTTAAAAATTACGTGACTTATTAGATCTTAATAATCCACTAAAGAACAATATTTTAGTTATTTGTTGAAGGATAAAATTGTGTTATAGAAGAATCGGACAATAGTTGAATAATTTAGACTGATTTACACATTTGTCATCTTTTGAGACAGATATTGGAATTGAATTCAGTATTTTGAAAAGGGTTCATTGAATAATGAAAATTTCCACAATTTATCATTTTTTAAATAACCACAATAGGAATGTAGGCCGATCAAATTAGGCTTCCATAGGGAAAATGGCGATATAGGAAAAGCAAGAATTTCCTAAATCTTAATTTTGATAATAATAAAATTAAAAGTAATTTAGAAAAATAATAATATAACTTTCAGTTATTAAATATTATAAACTTTAAATTTAAATTCACATTTTCCCGCGTAAACATTTATGCGCAAATGGTGGTACGCCACAGGCCTGTAAATATGATACCCTTTCTCTGTATTGTTATTTACCCGAAGGAGGCGTACGGAGAAGCGTACCATTTTTCCTGGGGAAGCCTGATTTGCTCACAAGTGTACAATTAAAAGAAGATTCTTAATAAATATATCAACAGTTTATTAACAAAATATCAATTTCTGTCTACTCCAAAAACCTTTCTCACATTCAAAGACAAATATCATCTTTCCTATCCACATTTCAATTTAGCCCCTCATTAAACAGTAAATTACCTCATCAAATATTAACTCTTTCACCTCTATCAAAGCAACCACTGCGTACCTAAACATTCACACCTAAATCTCTTCAAATTTAATCAATTGCCAGTAATAATTAATCCTCTACCTTAAAATGACGACCCTCAAATATAATATTCCCTGTTAGCTAAAAATATAGGAAACGGTATCAATGTCTTATCACTTAAATGTGTCATAGTATATTTCCTTTCCTCGATATTTTTAAAATAAAACTACAAAAATTCTCAACGTATTAGCTGAATTTGACCTACGAATCATAATATGCTGACCTCCGTGTTAAATGATCAGAGACCTACTTTTCAATCACAATCGCGCAAGAACGCATTCTCTCTACCTTGCGACAATGCCCTAACACAATTGTCTATAATTTTTCAAATTTCTATCCACATTATCCAATGGATGGTAAAGTCCCACACGCGTCGCGACGATGTTCGCGCATGAACGCAGAAATAACGACGCTCTCGATGATCTAATCGCACGGACAAAAACATTACGTTGGCCAGAGGTCTGCCGGCCTTCTTCGACACGGCTTTCTCGCCCTCGCAATTCCATCCGTGCACACAATGCTTGCACGAGAGGAAGGTCGGATCGCACGCGCCATCCCGGGCCACGATTGAAACGCGATCCTCTCGATGCAACTGGCTTTTTAACAGCGACGCAACGATGCACGTGAATTGCGTGTACTCGTGCACGAACACGCGAGTCTCGCGTAATCGATGAATGAATCGTGGCGACCCCCTCGATCTAGGGCCACCTTATCGGACTCGTTCGAAGTAAAGAGATTATTCAGAAGTTGATACGTACCGCACTGACAATCCCGGCTAGGAAGACTGCGGACGCGACGAATCTGAAAGAAGAATTTAGCAAATCAGTTTTAGAAAGAAAAAAGATTGGATCTGATTTAGAAATAGAAAGATATTAGCTTTTATTATAAATGCAATACTGGAAATTTCAAACATTATTATAAAATTCTGTATTTAATAGGGGAAATGTTTTTTTGTTTTTGAGTGACAACAATAATTAAAATTTTATTGTAAAATATGAGAGTAATTTTTATGTTACAATTCTGTTGAAACTTGTAGAATATTTAATTCAAACACTTAAACTTTGCTCTTTTCAGAAATAGAAAGTTTCATAAATTTTATACGTAAATGTGATAAAGGAAACTGGAGTTGATTATAAAATATGATAGTTTGTTTTTAATACTGAAATTTGTTGGCAGATTGTAGGCCATTTGATTAAAAATCGTTCATTTTTGAAAATATAAATCTCTGATAAATCTGACAATTCAGCATAAATAAATTTTGAATTATTACAAGGAATTATTTCAAATTATTAAAGGAAACAGATTAGTTGATCGTTAAAAACATGGTACTTGAATCTTGCTCCAATTCATAGACAATGACGGTACCGCTTTCTTAAATCTTTTTTTCATCGCTTTAGTCAACTAATTTTAAATATTTCATATCAACAATGAAGGAGCATACAAATAAATGCAAAATATAGAGAAGCAAATCAAAAGAAATAGATAGCTCGAAACCGAAAGTGTCACGGTAAAAGTTTCAGGACTTGCTTTTTTCTAAAATTCCAGCTTATCGTCTGTCACACTGGATATTCAAAAAATGAAACCACTTATGATAGACTCGAGGAACCTAGACAAACGAGTGGCTCTCAAATCGTAGAACACACAAAGCTCGATTAGATGACGAAGGTTTCTCGTGAAAAGGATAATTGTTCGCAAACACACCGTCTTTCGTCCTTGAAATCTACTCACCGATGGGTACATAACGGGGGTTAAAAGTGTCCCCTCCGTCTGTCAAGAAAATACCTGTGGCGCGTGCAAGAAGTGAGAACGCGCATAAGAGAAGTCGCAGAAAAAGAGAAGAGAAACGATCCCTTTATTCGGCGCGGCGCGGAGCACAGTAAGTAACCCGTCAAAGTTCCTCGGGAACGGAACAATACTTCCGTGTCGCGTTAGAAAGAAGATGAAGTAGAAGCAACACGTTCACCGAACGTACGCACGTGTTCGTGCAATACAGAGATCATTGACGTAACAACAGGTTGACGAACCAGCAACATTACCGAGAAGAGAAACTAGAAGAATAAGAGCAGTAGAAAAGAAGAAAAGCGAATCGGGAAAAGGAGGAAGAAGAAGATAATGAAGAAGAAGAAAAGTGGAAGAAACAAAAAATAAGTAAAATAAAAATAAAATGAATGGTAACTCACCGCAATCCCAACCGGGTCATTTCGACCTCCCTATTCCGCGACGGGTCTAGGGAGCCGAAGAGCACAGGCTAACACGAGCACCGCACGGACAGGCAGTCACAAAATATCGCGGGGAACCCGGCACCGAGTAGACGTGGTGTGTGGACCGTCCCATCCAGGGAGGGCTCTGAATGAACGTCGGGTGGAGGGAAGAAAGGTGGAGGCGGCCGGTCGAGCCACGCCAGCTAGAATTCTTCTGCCGAAAGGATCTCTTCTCTGCCCGAGTAATTTCCTTCTCTCGATTCCACGAGAGTTCTCCGTGTGCTCTCACACTGCTGTTCGCGTTAACCTCCCCCGCTGCTCTCTCCACTCGCGACCAAGAGAATCGAACTCTCCAGCCTGCCTCCGCCAACTGCGGGACCAGAAGATACCAGCGGACACAGGGCGCAAGAAGAAAGGACAGAGGGAGAAGTCGAAAAGAGCGAGAGGAAGGGAGGTAAGGAAGGAAGAGTTTAACTGGAGAGGGAAGTAAGAAGGGAAGAGAAGAAGAGAAGAAGAAGAGGAAGAAGTAGCGTAGAGGGAGAAGAGGGTTGGTAGGAAGGGGAGAAGTGGTGGAGGAGAGAAGAGAAGGAGAGGATTGCTGACCGGGTCGAGGCAAGCTTGGTCGCGCGTCGCACGAGGACTGTTGCGCGGCCTCAGCCGATGTCGATCGCGCCGTAGGTCTCTCTGGCTGTCCAGGCGAACCGAGCGGACCGAGAGGACCGGCGAGCTCAGCGAATCGAGAGGGGAGCATCCAGTCGACACCAGAGTGACGCGTTCAGACGCGCAAGGATACAGCTGTACGGAAGAGGAGAAGAGAGAAGAGCGCCTCCTCCGCCGCCGACTCAGGACTGTCTGGCTGCGTGGTGGGCCAACCAGGCCGGGCCGTGCCGTCTGTCTGGCCCTTCGACACGCGCTGCCTCGACAGGCTGGCCGTCCAGCCACCGCATCGTTTTCAACCACGACTACTCTCCAACTGCCAGAGACTCGGAATCTCAGCGTTCCAACCGCTCGCGCTCCACAGACACGATCGGCCATCGCTACTCCGACGGCTGCCGACCGGTGTGCAAGGTACAGGCACAGGTAAACGGGGAACACGGATCAGGAACACCGACAACAACAGGAGGAGAAGGAGAAGCTTCGGGCACAATGCGGCCTAGGGCTGCGGCAACTTCAACCAGCCCAGCCCGTGGGTTACATCCGTTCCCGGTTGTCCTGCGAGTCACCTGCGTCCTTGCCCTACTGGTCGTCACGTGGATACCGGTCACCGAGGCTGTGGTGAGTGAGTCCTTGAAATATCCCAGTCGCGTACCGTTCCGCGTTCGTTCCGTAGATAAAGACTCTAGACTACTCAATGTCCAATCGCGATTTTTCGTTCGAATTGTGCATTTTGTTTAAACTATTCTATCCTTGAGGAATTGACGATATCTTATTTATCGTTATCTCGTGTGCCCTAGTTATTCTAGATTAAAAGCATTGCTTCTTAAAGTGTCATTTATATTATTTTAACCTATGCTTGTGTTTAAACAAGATTCATTTCGAACGATTACCTGCGATCATAGTCGATCCATCGAATCACCGGGTCGTTTAACTGCATGGTTACGTAACTACATAAAACCGTCCACGGAAGGAGAGAGGGAAAAGTATTCGCGGAGTTATAGCGAATTTTCACCGCGCGAAACGCAACTCTGATTAAGTCTCGCACGCTAGAAGTTCTCTGAACTAACGTTGACGGCAACGTTTCCGGTAGGTCGTCGGGTCGACGTGACGTTACCGTCTTATTCTGAATACATGATCCACGATCTCCTCGAGCTTTCTTTCGAATAACAAGACCTAGAAAGTCGATAATTGACTGGTCTATGGACGTGGGTACGTTTTATGAACGTAGGTTTCGGTAATTTGCTGCGGGAACAGATAATGTCGCGAGCATCTGGAACAACTTAAATCGTTCAATCGTTTTTAGGAACGGAATGAGTTCGTGGCACAGATGCGTGGGAATGCCGGTTACCTCGATTAACGATCGACTTTACAATCATTTTTTAAATAAATCGATAAACTTAATTTGCATTTAGAAATGCACTATAGTTATTTCATTTGATACATGAAATGTATTAGAAATGACATTGTTTATATTAAAACAATTACTTTGAATAAACTATAGCTATATTTTCTTAACACTATAACTACCGAAGGGGTCAAAATGACTAGTTTCCATTTTCTTATTTTAAATTATAAATTTTATCGGGGTATTTTTATTGAAATGTATGTTGGCTGTTATCGAGCTAAAGAATGAATGTATATATTAAATTATGTTTCATCCTTTATCTATTTCGTAATCTACATGATTTTTAACTTAAAAATAAATGTACATCAAACGTCGGTAGTTCGAGTCTTAATTCTTAATTCTTTTTCTTTTCGTGATTAAATAATAGATAATTTCAACAAGGTTACAACATTGGTCCATTGATAACACAGTAGCACAAAGATGATAGTGAAATGCGTATTAATATTCATGAATCAAATAGAAAGTATCTTCTATTTAATAAATTTAAACAAATTTTAAATACGTGGAAATAATTAATGGATAGTTGTTGGTTAATATGAAAAAGCTAGAAGATATAGAAATTTTGACGAACACAAATGAAGAATGAGAGTTCATTCAGAGAGTTTAGTCGAAATAACGTGTACATTTAACTTACGGACTATTACGTAGGCGTGATGTTTTGCGTGAATAAGACAGAAAGCGTTTAAATTTCATTGAGTGGCGTCCAGTGATGCAGTTAACTGTTAAACACGCTTGAAATATAGGTCGTATATTCTTTGCGTATACGGATTCGTTTCGAACTGTTTGCACAGAAGTTGCTTTATTAACGCTTCCGTGAAATCGTTCTCGTAATCCGAGAAAGTCAGTCAGATTTCTTCGATCTAAACGGTCCGAGAAAATTCATTTTTCGTAATACATTTTTATTTTTTCCTTCTCATTAAATTGACAAATTATAGAGTACCGATATTTTAGTTTCTTTATTTATAGTACTTTTCTTTCATTAAAAAGCAAATAAAAAAAGAGTTGAGAAAAAAATTAACCCTTTAACTGCGTTTCACGTCTATACACGTCGAACCAAATCTCTATTGCGGTACGGTTGACGTGTATACTCGTTATTGCTTGATTTTCATTCCGCACACTGTGGGAGATTTTTAAAACTAATAAATTTCAGAGGCAACTAGAAAACTTTCTGACTGAATTTTGTTAATAGATTCTAATTATATCAATTCTGGAAGTAGTACTTATTGATGGTACGAATTGTTGATCAAAATGGTTGAAGTTTAAAAATTGAAATTTGTATTCTTAATTTGTCAAAAAATCCAAAAGAGCTGGTTCGAAAATCATACACTGTTAGAAACAAGAAGCAATCGTTAGACAAGTCACTTCTTTGATCTCATTAAAAGATCGTATAATTTCAAAGAAAAAATAGAATAATGTATTTTGATTAACATACAAGGAGGTGTAGGTGTCGGTACATATGACCTCACACAAAGCACACAAATCACCACCCTCGCCTTAACTGGATTTCACGTGTGGCTCGTGCGTGATGTCACAAACCGTTAAGAGCGTATATCTTAGGAGAGCAGTTTATGAATAATGTATACCAAGGTATTTTTACAATTACACAGAAATTTACGCAACAATATAACCTGTTGCGCAAATCAATTCACATCTCATCGCGTATAAATATTCGGAAATCATTGATTACTCGTCTTATTCTCAGGTATTTTATCTTCTGAGGAGATTCACCATTTATTTCCGAACTCGAAACGATGCAAATCTATTTTAATATTTAATATTTGCAGAAGAAAAATTGTTATAATTTTCATAACTTTATAGACACAAAAAATGTAGAAATTCAGTTTACAAATTAATTAGAGGTTGCTGATTTTAAATATAGTTTTAAACCAGCTGCTTAAATTAATAAAAAACAATTGACTTTTAAATGAATCGCGAAGAAAATTATTTTTAGAAAAAAAATACGCAATTCGCATTAAACGTAGAATATAATTTTTTTACCAACGTTAATCAACAAAGGAACACTTACAACGAAATCCAGCGGTAATTGTACCCTTTTATATTTAGATGTAACGTCAGGGTACAGCCCTGGTGCATACAGCACTTTGTACAACACGTGTGTTAATGTAGTTATTAAAAGCACAAGTACCACTGACGTCAGAACCGGCGCCAGTTACTAAAGATACAAAAAAAATAATAAAACATAAACAGAATAATAAGCAACTTAAAAACATTAACACACTGAATAATGCACATGAATAATATCAACTTACTTTGTTATTTAATACTGATATGATAAAATGTATCTGAAAAATGATATAAAGTTTCATTACTTCCCTGTTATTTTAACAATTTTATTTGTATATTTTTGTAAAGATAACAGGATTCTTCGTAATGCTTATTGCATAGATAAGAATACTCTTCGTTCGAATTTTTAAGATATTAATTTTCAGTGGCATGGAATTTTGTTAATTGAGCAATGGATTAAAATGATTAATGGACTTCACAGTTCTCCACGTGGCAACAGTTGCAAATTTTCCAATAGCATCATTTACTAGTACAGCTGCACTTTCATCTCTCCCAAGTTCCTTAATTATCTTATATTTAGTTTCTATAATTAGCATTCCTCGTTTCCGTACCGACAACTTCACGTTATATGAATAGTTTATACTGTCAGCTTTGCACTAAATTTTGTTCATGGCATATTACTACATTGAATTTGATTGCATTTCAATCATGATTTCACGTTTTCATATCAGAAATGAAACTCGTCAGGATAACAAATTGTATCCTGGATACCATGTTTCACTGAGATCATCATTTAAACCGAAGCAAAATTTAATATAATTCAAAAGTAAATAGATTTAAATAATTCAATTTCTTTTTTATATTAACATACTGAAATTATGAATTCTATACTGAAATTATACCAAATTCTTGTAATTAGCAATTTTCTTATTTTATTTCGAACATATCTCATACAGTATTTTATGAAAATTGTCACTTTTAAAAACTAATTGTCAAAAACTATCAAAAATTAATTGGTTCTTGAAAATATATTAAATATGTCAGATTACACACTTCTTGTAGAATTATAAAATTTCCCCAGAGTTATATAAAATTCTGAACAATATTAGCTTACTATTAGCTTAAATTATCCTAATGTTTCTTAAAGATATTGCTATTTCTTACTTAATTCTATTTTATTCATTTAACGACATTGTGGTTGCTAATAACTTATTAGGTTGATGTAACCCTGAAAATTAATACATACACCATTTTCTTCAATTTCTTTTTTATATTAACATACTGAAATTATGAATTCTATACTGAAATTCTACCAAATTCTTGCAATTAGCAATTTTCTTATTTTATTTCCCATATAATCATATCGGATTATACGTATAATCATATCTCGAAGATTGTGCTTTCTCGTTACCAGTGGCATCTTCCTACCTCGTTGAAGTCACCCAGTAAACAAGCATCTAGGCGATTTCGACGCCTGAAAGGCGTGCTCGTCCTTTTCGTAGCATCAAATAGGAAACGTCGATGTATAGGATAGTGTGAATAAATATAAAGATCGGGGATGGAATGAACGGTAGCTCAAAAGGTTTGCCTACCTTTTCTTGCTCGGTTTCGACCACCGACAGTGGTCCGTTATGCTGGTAGTCATTCAGAATCGTGAGAAATCGTTCAAAAGGGAGTCAGGTCACTATCCGCGTAGTTTCTTTTCACGTTTCGAAAATGTTATGAATCGATGCCACAAGAAAAGTGATAAATCTATCCCATAAGAATTCTACGCGTGTAATCGTTAAAGCTTTCGTCGAGAAAGTTCTGAAAAGAGTAACGTTTTCTGAGAAGAAAAAATTCAAGAAGAATGTTTTTAGTATTTCTATAAATTTTTTATATTTTTACTCGCAAGAATATAAAATTGCTATTTTTAAAGTGATATATTTTATTTATTTATATCGAGTTCTTTGATGTACAAAATTTTAAATAACGATACATACTTAAAATTGTTACTGAATACTTGTTTGCACATACAATGATAATTATAGACTTCCCTCAAAGTATAGAAAGAAATCACCTCGGAAAGTACTATTTACAACTGTCTTACCTTGACTAACCGGAATAAAAAAACTTGCATCTCAGACACGCGATACAACTCTAGTTGAACATTCATTCACGTGGGTCGTTATTACTAAATTATACGCGA